TCTAGATGAGGGGCTAGATTGCACCCTCAGCATGTTTGCAGATGACACTAAGCTAGGGGGAGAGGTAGATATGATGGAGAGCAGGGATTGGGTCCAGAGTGATCTGGAGAGTTTAGAGGATTGGGCCAAAAGAAATGTGATGAGGTTCAACAAAGGCAAGTGTAGAGTCCTGTACTTGGGTCGGAAGAATCCCAAGCATTCTTATAGGCTGGGGACTGAATGGCTAAGTAGTAGTTCTGCAGAAAAGGACCTGGGGATTACAGTGGATGAGAAGCTGGATATGAGTCAACAGTGTGCCCTCGTAGCCAACAGGGCTAATGGTATATTAGGGTGCATTAGGAGGAGCATTGCCAGCAGATCCAGTCAATATTCCCTTTTATTCAGCTTTGGTGAGGCCACATCTGGAGTATTGTGTCCAGTTCTGGGCCCCCCACTATAGAAAGGATGTGGACGCATTGGAGAGGGTCCAGCGGAGGGCGACCAAAATGATTAGGAGGCTGGAGCGCATGACCTATGAGGAGACACTGACGGATTTGGGTTTGTTTAGTCTGCAGAAGAGAAGGGTGAGGGGGGATTTGATAGCAGCCTTCAACCTTCCTGAAGGCAGGTTCCAAAGAGGACGGAGAGAGGCTGTTCACAGTAGTGACGGGTGGCAGAACAAGGAGCAATGGTCTCAAGTTACAATGGGAGAGGTCTATGTTGGATATTAGCAAAAACTATTTCACTAGTAGGGTGGTGAAGCACTGGAATCAGTTACCTAGGAAGATGGTGGAAAAACCTCCCTAGAGGTTTTTAATTCTTGGCTTGACAAAGCCCTGTCTGGGTTGATTTAGTTGGGATTGGTCCTGCCTTGGGCAGGGGGCTGGACTTGATGACCTCCTGAGGTCTCTTCCAGCTCTATGATTCTATGATCCAACATTGGCATAAATAACTAAATAAAACTTTAGCACGCAGTCTTGGTTAAAATGATTTGGAAGGGATGCCACTCAAGTCCTTTAAAACCAGTTTGACAAAGATACCCCACGGATCAACCCAGTACTAGGATGAACTTGCTGTCTTTTCACTCTTCCTTCTCTGAGAAGCATACTTCGGAGCATGAGATCCCTACAATGAGGAAGAAACACTGCAAACAGTCCGAAAAAAAATTAGAGTGAGCGCCAAGCTAAAAATGATTCATCTCTCTTCTTAGCAAGCTTCTCACTTTGTTATTTCATGTTACACACCAAACTTAGGCTTGATCTTCACTACAGAGATCTGCTGGCAAACCTAGACTGTGAAAAATTCACACCTTTAGGTGACATAGCGGTGCAAGCAAAACCCAGTGTAGACACAACAACCAAGATATAGTCTGTTGTCAAGATTTGGTCCTGCCATGAGGGCAGGGGACTGGACTCGATGCCCTCACGAGGTCCCTTCCAGTCCTAGTATTTTATGATTCTATGATTCTATGTTGAGTAGACACAGTCTAATTAGAGTCTTTGTCACACACTTTAAAGGTTTTTGTCTCAAATCTCAGGCCTTTTCTACACAAAGTATATCCCTCATAAACCTTCTATCCCCCACCACACACACATACATTCCCTGGGACATGGTTATTCTGATATAAATGTGCTTAGCACTGATAAAGGCTATTCCCATATGGGAAGGAGATTGAGCAACGCCAATGTAAGGCACGTTTATACCTGCATCCCTACTATGCATTTGCTAAAGTGAGTCCTTCCTCTGAGGGATGTGAGTCCCAGGGGTGTTGCAAAGCAAGATCACCTTGCACTTACTCCCCACAACAGCAGCACTTGTCCCATGGCACTGGCAGGGCATGGCTCCCTGCTCCTGGCATTGCAACCTGAACCTGGCACACAGGATTGCAACACTGCTTACTCAAATTTGGCCCAGCCAAGCCTGAGTGTCCCACAGGCCAGGTCACAGCACTTGGAGTAGGGAGCCAAGTCCAGCCAGCTCTGTAGGCCAGGTGTCATTTCAACAGGAACAGGCTTTATGGGTCAAGGCAGGGCAGTCCCATGAAATCTAGGGCTGTTGGGAGGTCTGACACTAGGGCTGTAATGATATAACTGTATCAGTCAAGCAAACAAACAAAAACACCCCGCCCAGCCGACCTAGTTATATTGGCACCATGCCTACGACCTTCAAGATTTACATCTATATCTGTGGTGGGAAGGGAGTTGTTCACTTATCAGAAAAAATAGTGGGCTAGTTCTTTAAATGCTTTTGCTGTGTTAGTCTGGGAACATTTCACCTAACTGGTGCGTTTTTGATAGCCTGGATCTGTCACCGCTAATGCATGAGAGCAGCTTTGATTCCTGCTACTGTGTTACTCTTCATATGTTCATTGAGCCAGCCATGAGCCGCTGCTTGCAAGGCAAAGTTGTGCCCTGCTGGCTCTTTCCTATATCCACCTGGCACTGCTTGAGATATCATCCCCAGTAGTCACTTTTCTGGTCTTAGGGGAAGCAGGGAATTCTGTGGGACTGAACAGAAGCCAAGATTTCCCAATTTAATGCTGTTTGTTGATGAATGTCATGCTGTGAAGTTTCTGTGATAATATAACAGCTACACAGACATACCTATTTGGGATGCTTGCTCTTCAGGAGGAGTTGTTTGCTCACAGAAAAACATGTTGCTTTTATATTATTTCCGCATGAAATAAATGCTTGTGAAACACACCTGATAGAAATTGGTGGATGCAGATAGCAATTTTAAATCTGAACCCACATTGGTTAATTTTTATACACACCTACCCTGCCCAAACCATGCCCATAATTTCCTAGGGCAGATCTGCCATACACACAGGATGCCTGCTAATACGGAGACTGTGGTTAGATAGAGAGATGCAACTAAAGATCTGAGACAGTGCTAGCAACATGCCAGTCCCCATGAAAAGTACTGCCTCTAGGAAATTAGAAGGCTTACACCAGGGCATAGGTCTGCCTACACTAGTGGTAATAGGGATTTAAAATCCCAGTTAATCAGTTAACTGGTTAAAACTTAGATGTAACTGGTTAACCGATTAAGCGGGATCGTGCTTTCTCCTCCCTACACATGCACAGAGAGGCCAGCAACAGGAGCTAATAGCTGTGCTCGTGGAGGGGTCAGATCCTGCTTCTCCCCCACTCCCCACCCCTGCGTGCAGGGCAGCATGCTTCTGCTCCCAGCCAGCAGCTCCTGATCCCTGTGGGGCTGAAGTAGCCCTCCACTCGCCACGGGCCATGGGCAGGGGCTGCTCCCAGGTACGGTTAACCAGTACCTGGTAAGCATCACCCAGCAACCTGAAAATAGCAGTGCAGACATTCCGGCTTGGACTGGACCCTAATACCCAAAGAGAGGAAGAGTCTTCAAAAGAAGGCAGATCTGACATCAGAGGGTAAATACCAGGGAAGGAGATGAATTAAGTTAAGCATCGGTGTGGACACTTGCACAAGTGGATATAAATGTTCTATCGACAAGTTTTGGCTTCAAATTAGATGAAGGTTTTTAACCATCAAAGTAGTGATGTTCTGGAAGCAGAGGAGCGGAGGGGCAAACTGGCTTCAAGGCCGAGTTTGATAAATTTATGGAGTGGGTGGTCTGACAAGATTGCCTACAATGGTGTGTAGCTGATTTCTGACTGTTAGCAGCAAATATCTTTCGATAGCTGGTGCTGGGACACTAGTGTTGCTACACAGTCATTCTGAGTTACTACAGAGAATTCTTTCCCAGGTGTCTACTTGCCAGGTGTTGGTCTAACTGATCACCATATTTACAGTCAGGAAGGAATTTTCCCTCTGAGTCAGATTGGCAGAGACCATGGCGAGCGGTGGGGGGGAGGGTCACCATGCACTGCAGCATGGGGCATTGGTCACTTACAGGTTTAATCTAATGCAAATGGAGACTTCTCTGTAATTTGGAGCCTTCCTGAAGGTTCTGCTGGACTGAAGGACATTGGCAGCCCATAAGATCATGGCAGGCCAGAGAGGAAGCTTTGGTAGCCCAGATCCACCCACAGGTCATATTTTGCCTGCCCCTGTTCTGTCCCCATTCTGATATAATCAGAGGCAGAGAAGTCACAGAAATAAGTGTAAGGCTCAGATTTATTTTTTATAAGAAGCTGCTGTTAAGGAAGGGCAAAGGGAGCTTTTACTGCATGTTTCTTGACTTTTATCAGCTTTATTCAATTCCCTTTTCATCATCTGGTTTTACTTTTAATAAATAGATTTACTTATCAATGCAGCTAATAACCACTTAGATTATTAACATGGAAAAGCCTTTAAAATTCAGATTTACCTTTCACTTTATATGCTCTGTATTTATCTTTTGAACTTCACTCAACTGGGACAATGAAAAACTCACTAGTCAGCTTCACTCTGTTTATTGTCACTCTTTAATCAATTTCATTTTTTTAGATTTTTCAGGAATTAGCCCAGTGCTGCCAAGGTTGTTGTTGTACATGTTTTAAAAGTTTCATTGTGTTTTTTTCAATAATACACAGAAACATATCTGTTGGTCTAAGGTGTTGTGAAAAGCTTGACAATCTAAACGTAGGGTCACATTTAACCAGATGCTGACTTTTTAATTGCAAGAGCTGTGGTCTCCTTCTTGGATGGGGGTGTTAAACAGTGCAAATTGCCCTTTAAAATTAATTTCATCCTGCCTACACTGCAGCATCCTTTTCACACATCCTACCTGGTGACAGTGACGTTACATGGAACCTTTACCTGCCAGATGACTCGTCTTTTCCGTGCATAACAGCTACAAAGTTTTAAAAAAATAAAAGCACTGTAGCTGCCCTAAAAGGAAAGAGGAAGCCAGAACTCTGAAGTGTCGGTCAGAGAATCTTGTCCTGCCCCGTGATGCTTCTTCCTGTCTCAGTTTGTGAATTTCCACCTTCAACCTACTCTCCGTTTATAATGCAACACATGTGAGGGTAGAACTGTTTAGTCTCCTTGTGTCACTGCAGTGGATTGTAGCAGCAGACAGAGTCATGCTGTTTCTCCTTTTCTCTACAGTTCGCTGGAGGTAAAAGAACTGTGGCTGGATACCATCCTCTGGTAAGCCCTGTTCTGTCTATAATATTCATTGTGTACATTTATTTTAGAGTTAGTGTAATACTAAAAATTTAAACTGCATAAATTATGCTCTGGAAAAAAAAGTCTCCCATTTGCATTGTCCCTGTTGTGCACAACTGATTGAACCAGTTTAGTGTCATATTTGGAAATTAACGCTGATGTAAGATTTGTGTTTTGTTATATGGTCTGGCTATCAGCATTTATCTACTCCTTGCAAGTATTGAAAGCAAAGAGTTCTTTTTTAAAGAAAGGCTTACCTATGATAAAAAGAAGTAGGTTTTGCCCAAGAAAGCTCATGATACGATCTACACGTTTTGTTAGTCTTTAAGGTGCTACTAGACTATTCGTTGTTTTTTAAGTTTTTCCTGTTATAGACTAACTCGGCTACCCCCTGAAGCTTTTTACCTATGATAGTTGTACTAAAAGCATTACAAATACAATTTCAAATCCATAATGATGTTCTATAGTTTTCTAAGAATAGAGAGATTGTTTGACTGCTTATTTCAAGGTATATTTTAAACAATATTTTGGATTGCAGTAGAGACACAAAAGAATGGTTAAATGTTTTGGTGGATAATCGTTATTTCTTTGTCCATTCATTCTGCACAGGCAAACAAAAGAAACCAAGGAAACCAGAATCACTAAAGTTCCATCAACTAAATTCCTAATGAAGGTGTTAGGTAGCTGCAATGCTGTAAGTGCATTTAATGAGCCAATTGATTGAATTTAGAAACATTCATTTTACAAATAATGTTGGAATAGTTTCTCACATTTTGTATTTGTTTTCTTTTTTAGCCAAAACCTCTAAATATCAACAATATGGAGTCTTTGATTGAGTGCCAGTCAGAAGTAAGCAATCCCTAACTCTATCCATTTCCTAATGTATGGTCATGTGCCGCGCCCTGGCAAACGTGGGGCCAGATTCTCAGATGGTGTAAATCAGCATCATTCTACTGCACTCAGTGGAGTCTGCTGATTTACACAAGCTGAGGATCCAGATATTGTCATCAATTGTGCCTCGTGTAGCTATTACTCCTAAAGATCAAATATGCAACAGTCATGATGTTTAAACTTAAACAAGCTTCAAAAAGAGACTGAATATATTTAAGGGTATCAAATATATCCAGAGTTATAATAGTTAATGAAAACATGTTGGAATGTCTCAGGGTTTAAGCAGATTTTGAACTATTAGAGCTCGGAATGAGCCCTATGTGGAAGGAAGAATATCCCACGTCTGCTTACTGAAGGGATCTTACACCTTCCTCTGAAACATCTGATGCAAACCACTCTTGGGGATGGGATAACGGACAATGTGGACCTTGGGTATGACCCAGTCTGCAAATTCCTATGTTCCTAATAACAACTTAAACTTATAGGACTGGATAGTTTTATGTCATACAGAGCCTTTGTTTAATTGTTGGACTGAATAGTTAACTGTGATGCTATGCATTTTTCATTTTGTACACAAAACATATCACAGGCTTTTGAGATACAGATGTGGTTGGCTGGTTTGGTTTTTTTAAGTAGCTGCTTCCTAACCAATTACCATTTATTTTAGGGAGATATCAAGAAATGCCACTTGATGGTGTCTTGTGATAGTGAAGATGGGCTTTGCCATCTGATTGGTGAGTTGTTCTGTGTGTTTGTTCGTTTTTTCAAAAAAAGTCCTCTTACATAAGTCTTGAAAGCTGGTACAGGCAGTCCCCGGGTTACGTACAAGATAGGGACTGTAGGTTTGTTCTTAAGTTGAATTTGTATGTAAGTCGGAACTGGTACATATTGTAGGGGAAACTCTAGCCAAACATTTCTCCAGAGCTCAGTTTTATTCTCCCACACCTCACTTCCCTCAGTCCTTTATTCTCAAGCTGAGGTGTCTGCTGAGAAAAGCCGCTCTGCATCTCCCTGGTCTGCTGGGGGGAAGCAGCTAGTGCGGGGTTGCCTCCCCCCGTTTGTAAGTAGGGATCCGATGTAAGTCGGATCCATGTAACCCGGGGACTGCCTGTACTTCTCCAAAACTAAAATTATGTAAGATAGATAGATAGCTAGATAGCTAGATAGATAGATCGATCGATCTAGAAAACAGAGTTTGTTGTTAATTGATAATTATGCATTTTAATATCACATTATGTGACATCGTTTTTATCTTCATTTTGTCTTCATTATCAAGACTCTAGTAACACACATAGCAGATTTTCCATTTCAGTCTGAAGTTGGGATATTTGACTTCTGAAAAGAAGGCAGCTTGTTTAGAACACTCTCCCAGTTATACTTTATGGGAAAAACATATGCTTCAGTACCCCATGCTCCTCAAATTCACAACATGCTACCATGTTTAAGATCCAGGTTCAAATCCAATTATGGGAGATTTCGGAACCTCAAACAGCAGATGGCTAAAAATGTTGTTCTTATCCTCCAAGCATGCGTGCTGTGTTTTAGGCATCCCCTTGTGGCAGACTAGATCAAAATGTGAAGTCTAAGAGCAGGCATTGGCTAACTGAGTCCCTGCATTTGAGTTGCTGAAGCATGAACAGAGGGGCTTGACATAGATATGGATACAAATACCCATTTGGAGCTACCTTCTATTCAAACTAGTTGCCACAAAGTTGATAACTCATGGCTTACATCCATAGTTGCATCCAGTGGGCCAGCAACAACGCATATGCAGTTGGGCAGAGAGACACCCAACCCCAAGCAGAAAAAAGTCCATATCTACTAAAGTAAAAAGGCTCAGTGAGTGATCAATGAAAGGCATTGAACTCTGGCATCCATAAGATGCAAGATATGAAAGGAGGTGCTAGTAATCGATGTTTTGCAAGTTGCTGGAAAGAAAAAGGCCCCACTTCCATGAACCCACTAATAGGGCCATTAAGCAGGGTCAAATAATGTAGTAAAAGAAAATTTGTAACACTGCAAACCACAGATCTGGGACTATCAAATCAACCCAGAAAAGCAGTCCTTGCGCTGCATATTTTCCCGCAGTAAGTCTAATGCTAAGAGGAAACAGTGAGTGCAACACAGAAACAGGAAAATTGTTGTTTTACAGGGATAATCAGGGTGTTACTGTTTAGTGATTTGTTTCCTTGATAACTTAGCTGTCTTTCAGGTTAGTTTTGCTCCATTTAGTATGTGTCCTTGTTTTAATATGTATGATTGATATTATTTCCTGTGTCATAGAGCATACCATCTCATATCCACAGTAGCTTTCTCACACTGACTTCTATCTTATTTTTGTTTTGCTTTTGCTTGTAATAGATGGTAATAAAAAAAGAAAGAAGGTGATCTCATGGCCCTTTGCATTGAGATGGAACCCTACTGCATCAGAATCTTCAGGACATTTAGAACCTGATCTAAAGACCTCTCTGTTTGATCAGCCTCTGTCAATTGTCTGTGGTGAAGACGACACACTCCCCAAACCTATACAGGTAAGCAAACAGCTGGTAGAAGAGTCGTTTAGTACTTCTTATGTGTAATGAGGATCAGTATGTCCTACTGGTTAGGGCTCTAGACTAGTATTCAAAAAGCCTCTAAAAACATTTGTAAAGTGTTTTGAGATCTACCAATGAAAAGCACTGTATAAGTGCTTCATATTAATATTTGTGTGCACATAATAGTGCTACTTAGCAAGATAGGAATTTTCCTCTGTTCTAGAAAAGCCCAGTCCTTCAACTCCCATTGTCTTCAATGAGAATTACCCATGAGGATTGCAGAAATAAGAGCATTTTAAAAACTGCATGTATTAGACCATCAAAAAGCAGTAGAACAGCTATAAAGTTCAGGGTGCTATAGAGGCTTCATTGAACTTACTATGGAAAGGGGGGGGTCATCAAGAGTTCAGATTCAAATCCAAAGCTTAAGGGTATCCAGATGGGAGGGGTTGGATTCAGCCCCTGCAGCTTGTGTTAGAAATGTGGTCCACTGGTAAGGGAGTCAGGAAAAGCGAGTTACTTTCTCGATCATGTCATTGGCTGCTTTATATTGAGAAAGTCATTTCACCTTTAAATTTTTTTAGAAGCCTAAAGATGTTATGAGTCACATAATTATCTGACAAAACCATACAGCTTTTGAGCAAACACCTTCTGACCAACACAAATGGTTCCTCATTAACACAAAGGAAGCATACATTGAGGTTTTTTTAAAATAAGCTTGACTGGGCATTGACTATGGAGGAGGGGACAGAACCATCAGGGCCTAATTCATCTCTTGCTGGAAATCAGGAATAACACCAATGAAACTGAGGAGGCAAAGCGAGAGAAAAATCAGGCCCTTAAAGTGTAACATTGCAAACTCACACTAGATGGCATCTCACTTTTAAGAACAGTGCAGCTCCCAGTTAAACATTAAAATACAGTATATCTATCTTTATGCCCTATATGGCCGCCTTTACCATTTTCCCATTCCTGTATGTGTGTTTCCTATAGGATATCCTTACTACACTGTACTTGAAAGGACCTTTCACTGAAGGAATATTCAGAAAAGCGGCCAATGAAAAAGCACGCAAGGAATTGAAGGAAGAACTGAATTCAGGAGGAAAAGTTGACTTGAAAAGCAAACCTGTGCATCTGTTAGCAGTGGTCTTTAAGGTAAATTCACCTGATCTTTCGCTGTCAAAGTAGATTTCTAACAGGAATTAGAAAACTAGTAACTAGAACAGATCCTAACCTGGAACTGAAATGAAAACCAAAGTGAAGCTATGCTAAACTTTTTAAGCTTCAGAAAAAAACTGATAACCCTGTCCATTTCTTATTTCATTTTTCTGCCATTGACTTGCAATTCCTATGTGATCCTATACAAGTCAATTGACTTGCAATTCCTATGTGATCCTAGACAAGTCACCTTATGGTCTCACTTTCCCCCATCACCACCACCAGAAAATGTGGATAACTATATTTTATTTTTCTTTGTGAAGCACTTCATGTTTTTTGTATATATTTATAGAACACACATGAAAAGTTGTGTGTATATGTATGTGCCTCATTTACCATGTAGCTAAAATTGTTGAGCATTGTGCTGAATCAAAGTAATGGTCATAATCAAAAGGCAAGAAATGTCTTTATATTCATTCCATGGTAAATGATATTATCCATATGCTGATCCAAAGATCTCTTCATTGTAGGATTTCCTCCGAAATATCCCACATAAACTGCTCTCATCTGAACTTTATGATGAATGGATGACAGCAATGGAGAAGCAGAGCAATCCTGACAGAATTGAAGGATTGAAAGAGTAAGTTTTACAGTCAGTCTCGTTGATATAAAGACTCCAGATCCAGTGACTTTCCTGGAAACATTTCCATTTCTGTCATTTGTAGAAACTTGGTGCATCTCCTCCAGTGATTAATTTTGGAGTGAAGATGGCACAGAACAACATTTCTCTGGTGACAATATTTCCTAAATGAATTTGAGATAGATTTAAAAAATAAGACCTCCAGAAGAATGAAAAAAGCAAGCTTGGAATGTTTTGGTGATTAAGGCTGTACATCAACAGTGGACAGTCATTTGGGGCCTCATCCAAAGCCCATTGAAGTCAATGGAAAAATGTCATTTAATGTCAATAGGATTTTAACTTGATCCTGGGAAAACAAAGGAAAATTTGTCATTCTTCTGGGGGGAAAACAGAAAAATGTAAATTACAATTAAAAACTTATTTATATGAAATAACTGTAAATCTACGAAACATAACTTTAGCAGTGTTAATAATCAATATTATTGAATCTCTCCAGTGATATTTCTAGATTGGATATAATTTATTAGCATTGTTAATTTATTGATAAAGTGCAGTATTCTACTGCTTGCTTACTGGTCAAGACCTTATGGTTAGCCACGTAGTCAGCTGCTGATGGGGATTTTTGAACGGTAGTTTTGTAAAAACAATTAAAATAATCACGTTCCTCTTTTTAGGGGAAGTGTCGGCCCAGCATGAGCTCAACTGAAACTTGTTCACATAAAGAAGAGGTCATTGTAACCTGCTTAATTTTGCATTTTTTTCATGTTTCTTAGGGTTGCAGACAAATTACCACGGCCAAATCTTCTCTTGCTTAAGCATTTGGTCTTCGTGCTTCACCATCTCAGCAAAACCTCTGACGTCAATCGGATGGATTCCAGCAATCTTGCTATCTGCATAGGTCCAAACCTGCTGACTCCAAAGCAGGATGAGACCTTACCACTCGAAGTCCAGAAACAGCTGAATGACAAGGTTAGTTTGTCTTCCCTCCTCTGTTATTCCCCAGTGTTCTCACCTTGCCTAATCAGTCCTTTACCATTACTATTTGCCTTCAAAATCAAAGCAAGGCATCGCTACCAATCATTTCTGACTCAACCCTTCACTGAGCTGTTCAGAAGCAGGTCTTCAAGTCTCCTTGTCTCATCATCTACACTGAACAAATAAGATAGCTTAGCATACACGCAATTCATCTTTCCAGGTTCTGAAGACAAATGTACTGAACACGTATATATCAATAAAATACACAGTGTACTTATATTTCATGTACACACATACAATTTGAGTTGGAGTCTACAACAGAGAATTAAGTCTTGTTAGATGAATCTGGGCAGATCCATATAACCATAGGTTCAGGACCCTTATTCCAATGTGGCCGATTATGCATCCTGAAGTTAACATTTGCATAAGTCCTTCATTGTTCAGCATGGATCTGTTCAAAGATACCTTGCTGGAATTCTTTATAAATGAGTGGCTTAACCTAACATTGTAGCAGTTAAAATAAATTAGTTAGCATGGATCTTAAACTGCAAAATAAAAACAAAATTAGTGCCAGTTATGTTATACAATTGCCAGTTGAAATATTTTGATTAACAAATACTTATTTTATTTGCACAGGTTAAGACATTAGTGGCATTCCTCATTGACAACTACTTTGAAATATTTGGGGAAGATATATCTTTGCTCTTCAGTCCATCAGCTGATGATTCACTAGAATACACAGACAGTTCCACAGGTACTGTGATGTGTTTATGTACTTTACATATTGCATGTAGTGGACCCCCTCCAGATTTGGATAAATAGCATCCCTGTCTGTATTTATGCATGGTATCTGGTCTATCATGTTTATCTTAAAATGCATTAAGATTGTATTGAAAGTGCAAAGATTTTTTTTATTGAAGCATGTTTTATATGTAGGAAGTAACTTACAATGACAATAGCCCACAAGGCTGCATTCATTCCCAGTGCCAAACATCAGCTGCTCATACAGTTTATAAAATCATAATTATTCGTAGCCTCTCATAGGCCTCTATGCTGCAAGGTGCTGTGTGCCCTCGGTTCCCATTGAAGTCAGTAGGAATAGAGGACACTCAGCATTCGCAGTGTTGAGTCCATAATGATCATTAAATGTCCTCTTAGTGTAACTTCCTGAGGTCCAAATGTCACCCTCTCTACATGTGTACCTTCCAATGGTGTCACATCCAAGGGCTGAGTTCTTACCTTATGTCTGTTTCATTACTGGCAGCTCTGTAAACTATCAAGGAGGGGATGGTTCCAGGGCCTTATCCCAAGCTCTCACAGAGCATGCCCAGTGTTGCTTGCTGTCCCTTTCCAAAGTCCATCCGAGCAGCTGCCTGAGGCCAGCTCCTTCCCTAAGTTAAAATAGTTGCTCAATCCCATAGATTTTAAAATGACCCTCTATCCTTTTTGATATAAAAGAATTAAGAAGATTGTTCATAAAAAGAACAATGAACATTGAAACAAATGTGCCATATTTGGAAGCTATAGAATATAGCAGTAGCTCATAGGAGTTTCTTCTTTTCTGTTTGTTTTCTTCTATCCCCATTCAGAAAATTGTTTACCTACCTTTTTCCCTGTTTAGCCCCCTTACAAATATTATGCTTCAGTTAGTTGGGTATACACCTGAATTTAGTGAATTTGTCAGATAAGAATTCTTGAGATGTTAGACTGAATTTCATGGGTCAGATCCTCAACTGGTACAAGGAGATGTTGTTCCACTGGAGTCAGTGTACATCAGCTAAGGATCTGACCCTGTAATTATCAATAAATGGAGATCAGTACATCAAAATAGTTATTTTCATGTTGGTTTTGCTCAGCATGTAATGTACTAACAATTTCTTCCTCTCCCACAGAACTGTTATCTCCCACTCAGCAAAATGACTCTGCTTACGACAGCACTGACCCTGAGGCTGAATGCAGTTCCAGCATCTCTGAAATCAAGCCGCTCCAGAAGGCCACAGGGAGAACCGCTAGCCTGCGCTGCAGAGAGACACAGTGCCAAAAACCACAGGGCCTCCCCGCCTTTGCCTCTTCACTGACTGTTTTTAAAAAATCCATAAGCACACAGGATAGGAGATACTCTGAGCCAGACATGTCCTTGCAGGACTCTCTTGAAGGCAAAATAAGGAGCCAGAAGCTAACCAAAAGCGAGGATAACTTCACCATCCAGCAGGAACAGCTGGGGCTGCAAGGTCAAGAATTGGAAAAGCAACTGCCAGGGCAGTTTTTTCCTGGAAGTCGCTATAGGAATAAAAAGCCACCCCACCTAAGTGTGAAAACAAATTTGCCATCAGAATTATCAAGTGGATCATTGCCAAAAACATCCTCCAGCTGTTCCTTGGATAGCTCCTTATCCAATTCTGATTGCTCTGTCTTTACCAGCTCACCATTAGTTTCTCCTTCCAGCCCCAAGAGAACCTTCTTAACCAGACCCCAGTCCTTTTCTACCAAGACTGCAGATGAAATTGCTAACCCCAACAGAGAGATCAAAAAACACTCCATGTCATTTTCAGTTGTTAGCAAGAAAGTGCTTACAAAAACCCAAAGTTGGGAGCCTGGAAAAACCATGTGCTTTCAAAGAAGCAGCTTCAAGCAAAACTCAAAGAAAGAAAATCAGTTTTTACGCAGAACAGTTGAGGAACCCTGTACCATCAACAGCAAACAATTGCCTGTGGTACCTCAAACAAGGTCTTCTTTCAGGTCAGCTGATGAGGTGTTTAGAGAAGTGGACCAGAAAAATCCCGGCAAACCACCATCATATGAAGAGGCTACTAAAAACTGCCTAGCTGCTAAGGTCCCTTCATACAGTAGCTTAACAGTTCAGAATATGAGAGCAACTGTGTCAAAACAAGACTCTTTTTCTCCTCATCCATGTCTCAGCAATGGAGGGGTTACAACAGAGGCTCTACCTTGTGACAGACATTTTGTGGTAAATGATTCTCGGGGACAAACTGAAACTATTGACATTGCTGTAAATTCCCGGGTAAGTTTACCTGTAACCCCTCGAGTTTATCGTCTTAGGACTATGTCTGAGTCCTATCAAAAGAACAAACAAGAGTGTCTGATTCGACGATGCAGTCAGCCAGTCTTTGAGATTGACCAGATCAAATATGCTAAGGAATCCTATGTTTAAATAGACTGTGTGCTCTCAATACAATGTACAAAGTTAACGTGGTATAAATAGATATCTTGCAAAACATTGTCCACAACATTTTACTTTAAAAGGACCAAGATTAAGCTAGCTTGACGCGAACACTTCTTTTGTATAAAGCTTTTCGGAAACTGAATGTCAGCTTAATGTATTGTGTTTTTCCAGCTTTGAGTGTGTGTGGTGCATTATAATGTTGAAAAAGTGTATATATTGCACATATTATGTTACATTGAAAGAAAACAGAAGGAATGCTAAAGTTATGTGATAAACCATGTTGTTTTTCTATACTTCACAGTCACTTTCAAGGCTGGGGGGGCCAAAACTTAACCCACTAGCCTTTTCTCCTATAGACATATGAAAGCATTGTGTAATTTGCTGTATGTTTTTTTCCGATAACACAATCTATCAGTCTCAGAACATGTTCCATCATCAAGTCCAGTCTCACCCTTGCCTAACGCAGGACTGCTCCTCACAACATATTTTTCTAGAGCTCTGTCTGGTTTTAAATGACTCAAGCAATGTTGTTTCCACCACTTACCTTGGGATACTCTTTCACATGCTAATAAACCTCACTCTTATGAAGTTGTTCCTACTATTCACGCTACATTTCCTTTCTCTTGATTTTTACTTCATCACTACTAGTTATACTACTATTTCCCCCCAAACAACCTGATAGCTCTTTGAAACCTACCTTGAAGAACATTGTAATTATATAACATACTGGTCAGTGTCTTTTAATCTTATGCACATAAAAATGACTGGAAGTGTAATGTGTTTTCACATGTATTAGCTCATATTTTAAAAGCACTTATCTCCAGTTTATGGTTCAATGCTTTGAATCAAGGCTGGGGAGACTTTTTGGTTTTTACTCCAATGTAGTTTCACTACAATAAAGCACTTTTTTTCTGCATGACTAATTGTTATATTTTATTTTGTGGTCTCTCTTCTTATAAATATTCACACACTAGCTCCCTAATGTGACATACCCAAATAACAGAATAGCAACTAGCTGCTAATTATTGCTTGTCATTACTACTGTTATTGCAGCTTTCAAAAATTGAGAATTACATTCTGAGGGCCAAATTCACCTCTACCAAGGAACCAGGTTATGCTGGCACAAAGCAGCATTAGTTATGGGTAGCGGTAAGGGCTGCTACTGTGGGAAAAGTTGGTAACATTTGCCAGAATGTTGGTGTAGGCAGGGAGATGCCAGAGTGCTGAGTCAGCTGCATTCCAGAGAATCTACCCCTACAATGCTCTCAGGAATTGCCAAATTTTGCATTACAAGTCACATGAAAATTGGTGTTTTACCTGAAGTTCTAGCTCCTGGACACAACCTTTCATTTGTAAAACCTTAATATTCTAGCACAACGATGGGCAACCTAGGGTAGTGAGTGGGCTGCATGAGTGGCCCTTCTTCATCTCATTGGGCTGCAAGATAGTTGTAACCAAGACAGTCGTAGTTTTGCTAACTACAGTTGTAACCAAGAAGAAGGTAGTTTTGCTAACTACATTTGCATACCTAGAATTTGTGGGGTGTGCTGATTGAATCATAGCAGCACTTGGATTGGATAAAGAGGAAGTATACAGCCCTCATAGTCAATATATACAGTCCACACACACCTTACTTCACGTGCCCTTGCTTTACATGCTTGTCACTTTAGTAATACTTATGCTGCGTCTAGACTGGCAAGTTTTTCCACAAAAGCAGCTGCTCTCAATTCCAGGGCCCAGATCCATTCCAGTCTTGGGCTGCCATACCAGACAAACTCCAAGGCTGCAACATGCTCAGTCACGCTGTGGAGATGGCACATGTGTGGGTCCGTCACAGCAGAAGTTATGAGAGGCTTGGGAATGCTCAGCAGGGACAGAACCTTGAGATTTTAGCTGCTAGTCTGTACTGATCCTGTGTAAACTGAAATTATTCAAAGGTTCATGACAGCTAAATTTTGGCAGCTTTTCACAAGAAAACCTAAACATACGTCCCTTCAGCTAAATTTTGGCAGCTTTTCACAAGAACACCTAAACGTACATCCCTCGCATACAAATCACACCCTGCCAAATTTCAAGTCCCAACCCCAAAGCATAGGGATGCTAAAGTTTTTCAAACAAAAGATCATAATTTTTTAACATGGGCAAAAAAAAATGTATTTTCCCTAGCCTTGGTTTCAAAAATGACTGGAGGGGGGTTGGGCTGAAATGTTCCAGAAAATTTGGAAAGCACAGAAAACTTCATCCCAAATGGTTAAAGTTAAGCAAAGTTAGAGGCAAAACAGTGTCATATAATGGGAAGTACTGGGAAACTTTAATGATAAGTGGTTCTACCAATCCCACATTGATATTTAGATTAGATTATAGATATGCACACACTTTTACAAAGGCTATATAAAATGTTTTTTCAAACACTGTTAAAGGAATGTTAAAACCAAAATTAATCTTGGCCAACTTGAGAAGATACACTGTTATGTCCACATACACTGAGATGAGAATCATTCAACCCAAAATTGCTTGGTCCAGAATTCATAGTCATTCTTTCCCACCATAGCCAACCTAGTGGGAGCCAGCAGAGGAAGAAAAGACACATACATGCATATGCCAAGCAGCAATTTCTAGGTCATGGAAGAGAAAAAAACAAATATTCATGAAGTCCAATAAATATCTAAACTGAGACCTGGAGCTTAGCTGGAAAGCATTGTGTGCTCCATCCTACAGCTCTGTAGTGATCCTCTATAAGCCATATAACTTCCCAAAATGATTCCCAGAGCATATCTTTTAGAAAAGCATCCAATCTTGATTTTAAAATATCTACATGGGGAACAAATATTAATAATGGAGTCTTCTATCTGGCAGCAAAAAGTATAACACAATCCAATGATTAATTATTCTCATTATCAACAAGCTACTCTTTCTTTCCAGTCTGAATATATCTAGCTTCAACTACCAGCCACTGAAACTTGTTATACCTGTCTGAAAGGATTGTTACTGATTAATAGTACAGCATGGAGACATTTGTAGTATGTAATTGCATCATCCCTTAACCTTCTCTTTGTTAAATTAAATAATTCAACCTCTTTGAGTCTATCAATATAAAGCACATTTTCTAGTCTTTTAGACATTTTTATGGCTGCTGTCTGAACATTCTTTTTGAATTTTTAGCATCAGAACTGGAGGCAGTGCCAAACACAGAAGTAAAATAACCTCCCTATCCTATTTATGTATCCCAGATTTGCATTAGTCCATTTGACCACAGCATGTCACGGGGGGTTCATGTTCAGGTGATTATCCACCACAACTCCCAAATCTGTTTCAAAAACAAGGAGTCCTGTGACACATTAAAGACTAACAGATTTATTTGGCCATAAGTTTGTGGGTATAAACCACTTTGTCAGATGCATACGTTTTACAATCTTTTTCAGTCGTCGGCTCCCGGGATTGAATCCTCCATCTTGTAAGTGTGACCTACATTTTTTGTTCCAAATGCATACATTAACATTTAGCCATATTAAAATACATATGTTTTGCCTGTGCCCAGTTCATTAACTAAATTGCTCTGAATCTGTGATTTGTCCTTTTTATTATTTACCACTATCCAGACTTTAGTGTCACCTGCAATCTTTATCAATGGCAATTTTATGTTTTCTTTCAAGTCATTAATAAAAATGCTAATAGAACCAAGAACTGAAAACTGTCACTGAGAGACTCACTAGAAGTATAGCTGTTTGATGATGATTCCCCTTTTACAATTACTTTTTGAGACTTATCAGTTGATACACATTCAATGAATTAAAAATACCTATGCTAATTTTATATCATTCTAATTCTTTAATCAAAATACCATGTAGTACCAAATACAGGCAGAATGTGCATCCAACAGGACTTTTTGCAGCTAAAAAGGTTCCCCCGCATCTTGGATGCTACAGAACTGGGTGCTATAGAAAACCCAAAGATAAATAAAAATTAGAGTGATATCACAAGCCACTTTTTCTTTATCCTCACCAAAGCAATGTCATCTTGTACCATGATCTTTGGGACCTTTCCTATTATGTTTTGCTCTTCTCTGAGGCAAGTCATTGTCAGTATAATGAAGCACACCACTTCTTGCTATCTGTCCAGTCAGAATCATGGAGTAAAAGTTCTCTATAAAATTCTTAATACTGGTGGATTCTGCTTTGGAATAACAACTCCATATTTGGCTTGTCTACGCTTGCCCCTTTTTCCTAACATTTTCCATCATGGTTACTGACTCCACATCTCTAATAGTGGAAGCAAAATAGCCCACTAGTGCTTCCCCTACACTTGCGGCTTCTTGCGTGAGAAATATGCAAATTAGGCTAAGCGTGGACTATCGCCGAGCCTCTTTTGCATACCTAATGAGCCATTTTTGCAGAAAAAGCTCTCGCGCCAGAAGGAGCTGTCTACACTGCCCCTTCTTGTGCAACAAAAGCCCTCTTGTGTAATGCCATTATTCCTGAAAATAATCGGCGTAGTGGCATTGCACAAGAGGGGTTTTGTTGCACAAGAAGGGGCAGTGGAGACAGCTCCTTCTGGCACAAGAGCCTCTTCTGCAAAAATGGTGGCTCATTTGGTATGCAAATGAGGCTCAGCAATATTCCATGCTTAGCCTCATTTGCATATTTCTCGTGCAAGAAGCCGCGAGTACAGACATAGCCGTGAAGACCTATCTTTGGCTTTCAATTACTCTAACTCTGCTCAACACAGATGTAAATAATAAAAGGGTGGGAGTCTAATAGTGTTACATTCAGTAGTGTTTTACAGTACTACTATCCAGGTTTTATTCATACCTAGTCCCTCTTGAACCTGACCATATTAACAAACAAGTTTCTTATTTTGATAAATTGACTGTGCTTTGAAAATTAATTCTCTTGGATTTTATCACTAGAAAGGGATTAAGTCCAAGAAGTAGGGTTTGTAGGTTGTTTACTTTACATGATACATTACAAAAGAACTCTACATCCTGCACTGACAAAGATCCATAGACTTTTAAACACGCTATTATTGGAGAAACTAACATCATGCTTCAGGCTCAACAAGGACTCTCTTTGGATAGCCTACACTGCAATTTAAAAACCCACAGCTGGCTCGTGCCAACTGATGCAGACTCACAGATACTTGGGCTAAGGGGTTGCTTAATTTTGGTGTCAATGTTGGGGTTAAGGTTGTAGCCTAAGCTTTGGGATCCTCCCACATCACAGGGTTCTAGAGCCTGGCTACAGCCCAAGCCCAAATTTCTATGTAACCCACACACCTTGTGGGTGTGGTTCACTGTCCCATGTAGTGGCACTAAGAAAGACCACTTACAACAAGAGCTAAGAACAAGTGAGCTCTCCATCTTAAGTTGTGAGCCAGCTGCCTTTATATCTCAAGCTGTAGACGCTCATGTACTAAGCTCCAAAGGTCCTACCTATGAATCTGCCTGGTAGCAGTTACATCTACACAGCAATTAAACAGCCCCTTAGCACAACCCAAGGTCAACTGGCATAAGCCAGCTGTGGGCTTTTAACTGGAATGTACACACCCCCTCTGTGATGGAATCAAAGTACTTCATAGATCCGTGGTCACCAACCCGTCGATCGCAATTGACTGGTCGATCGCGAGGCCTCAACCAGTCAATCACAAGGCGTTCGGGCAACCTCATTTTCCCCCCCCCCCCGAGAAGTCCCACTACCTACCTCTAGTGTAGTACCGGCTTCCCGCGGGGTGGATGGAAGTCCTGTCTGAAGCCCGCATCATTTCGCAGGAGCAGAGAAGGGTTATCTGCGGGGCAGGCTCCCGCAGGGGTTTGGCCCCTGGGCAGGCACGCGAGGCGTTTCCCTGCCCCGTGGGGGCGGAGGGGAGAAGGGGGAGTCAGGCCCGGAGGAGGCATGTGCTG